GCCGGGTATTCATATTCCACTGTGGAATTCCCTCTAAGAAATCGCGCTATCGCCTCAGCACCTTTCGTTCGGTCCATCAGAAGGCCTGCTTATCATTGGTGCCCACAATCGGCGGGCCTTGCGAGTGCTCGGCTACCGCGGATCCTATAGCATTATCTCTATATACACATGGCATGATCAAACGTGTTGATCTGACAGGGGTTTTAGTAAGCCGGCCCGTCACGGAGGACTTGTCAACTGCTTTCGTGCTTACGGAACAACCTAACATCTGTTTCGAGAAAACGTTGAGATGTAGAACCCAGATCATTTGAAGTAATTGAGACTGATCGATTCCCTATATGATTCAGTGCTACGGATTGCTATCAAAGCAGAACTTCTGAAACTTTCCAAGGACAGTTCGGTTGAGGGCATTTTGCTTGTTCCCGTCAATTACTGCCTTCTGCAGAGTCCCGTAAATTTGCTTAATGAAATAAGCTTCCGTTTACACCTCACAAAAGTCTACATGTCTCACCTAAGTGAGAAGTGCAATTCAGCAGAAACTAGCGAAGGAGAAGGCGAGGTGGGAAAATGACTCTCCTTTGGGCCAAACAGCATCCACCACTCTTTCAATGTTTGCTTATGAGGGTGCATAGTGCGGAAGCTGTACTTGCAATGTGCAACCTTTTATTTATTTTTGAAGTGCTTTCCAGATTTTTTTGTAAAACGTTCTGCAAAGATTCCTTTTGCGTAGCCAGAACACATCATCGTTGTGGGAATCAAACGTAGTAAACCGACAGCTAGAAAGGAGTTTCTAACCATAAGCATCGGGGTTAGTCAGCACAGAAGAATAATTGAACAGGAGGTAGTGAAGTTTTGAGTCTTTGTATGGGAGTCTAGGAGCTCTTGCCTATCTGACACATCTCAGGAGGACTCTCGCACAGCAGATGACTCAGAAACAAAGCGCAGATCCCTATTCCGTCATGGTGTACGGTTGTACAGAGCCCATTTTTTAAGGGGGCTAGGGTTCGCACTGCGCTGCTATTTTCCACAGTGTCGCGATGATGTGCCTTGCGCGTGGAAGTGAGGTAGTAATTGATCGAATGATTAACAAGAGTTCTGTAGGCTGCAGTTTTTCAGAAAACAGATCTGGACTCACTCAGCGACAAGGGTGAGATCAAGAACCCTTTATACAGGTAAGAGATAGCACTACTAGCAGTACGTATTGTTCACGTTAGACATGAATCAAATTTCTTGCTCATTTCGCCTCTTTGTCAAGTTGAATACCTAATTCTTCACATCTGATGAGAAATTTGATTCTTCTTGGTGGGAACTCAATTTCATTTGCATCCACGTAGTACTCACTCGTGAGGAAGGAAGGAACCTCCCTGTGAACGTAAGTCTTGCCCTCTTCAGCAAGGAAGGGCTGTAGGTATATGACGAGCACAGAAACACTCGAATGCATGAACAAACCGACGCAAACCAATTAATTTGACAGAAATAAAGGATAAGCACGGTTCTGCTGGTTCATCTGTGGCTGCATGTTTCCATGCAGGACTTTGGGCATTTACTGGTAGGACGTCGAGTCGGAGTGTGCGCTTATGGAAAGTGGTGGATGGCTAAGGGGGTTGCGTCTGCCACCCGGGAAAAACTGATGAACGAATACAAGTTCACCAGTTTTGTCCCTGCAGATCCGCCACTGTAGACCACCCTGTTGAGCTCCGCCCGAACCGGGTAATTGAGGGGGTTTAGGTCAGGTGACCTACTTAGATATTCCATCTTCTTCAGGTACTCAACGCCCTTCCATTCCAAGTAGGCGAGAGTTTTTCCAACGCCCTTCGATTCCATGTGCTGGCACCCAATCCTGTAGCAGTACGAAGTTTCCAAGACGGTACAGGCGACGACCGAAGGCAGGATACCTCTTCAAGTTGGTGCCTGTAACCGTCAGCGTTCACTTCCAGTCCGGGGTCCACGAAGAAAATATCGGTCTTCCCATTCCAGGAACTTCCGGTCCATACCATCAACCCGCGCCTTGGCGACTGCGGTGAAGATGATATCCTTGGACCGTAGCGACGTTGACGGAGCTGCTCAATGTTGGATATCTTCCAGACCAGTGTCGGTCTCCAGCTGTCCATGGGTGACTCGATACAAAAAGTTGCGCAGCTGTTCGAAAGTGACGTGAAAGGTTCTCCAGTCCCGCTGCGATTGGAGATAGCTTCATATTTTGGTGTACATGAAGGTGATGGGCGAGAGCCAGCTCCTGCTTATAGAGGAACATCTTGGGTATCTTCCGCCCTAGTACGCGTATCCACGTCTTCTCTCTGGGCTGCGTATTCTTTACTGATATGTCGTAATTAGGTGTCCTTTCTTGCCTCCCCCTGTAAATTGTAACGCACCCAAGTATGCATGACAAATAAATAAATACAAACTGATATACAACTTCAACACACAAGTAGCTCATCAAAACTCATAAGACCCAGAATAAATCTTTAAATCAAACATGAAAAGAAACGCAAGCAATCACCTCTTGACAGGCATTGATTACTGAACAGTCCCTGGAAAAGTAGCGCATGCGTAATGCATGAGGAATGGTGAATAAACAAGTAACAGAACCACCTAAAGGAAAGGCCCTGGGGGTGCTGGAATCTGGACCAGAATCTTTCAGAATGCGAGTTTTCTCGTGATTCTTGCCATGACTAACTAGCTTTTCTTAGGAAGCCGAAGGATGAAAAGAATATCGGCGGTACAAAGGAAGATTCCATCATACCACAAGACGAGCAAAAAGGAGCTCTCAATCATTCAGCTTATGTCAGTCATTTTTTACTCTCATAGAAAGACTTTTTTTCTTGAAGACGTACTTGGCTGCAGAGTAGTGGTGCTGAAAAAGCAGGGTATGTGGTGGTTGAGGCACACTATAGAAAAAGGAAAAAGAAAACGTCGGGAGCGCTTTGGGCAAAAGGGGCCGCTAGTGTTGGGCATTTTACGAGCATCGACAATCGTGGCAGATTTCTGACATTCTTGCTCTGCACTTTTGAGCTTCGACAGTGGTACATCCTCGTAATGCACCAATTTGATTTTAACTTTTTTGAATTATGTGTTTCTACGGTACAGTTCTGCTGTATTACACACCTGGATAAATCTTTTTAGTCCATGGACGTGAATGAAGATGAGAAGCTATCAAAAGAAGCCTCTCGTGAGAAAAAGCGTGGAGATTCGACAGAAGGGACGGAGGAAAAAATACCCAAGAGAGAGGCGGCTTTGAAGCAGAAGAAAGCTCCAGGAAATGTCAAAAAGACGAATATACCCGGTGCTCTAAAGAAAAGAAAGCAGTAATAGCAGAACAAGCAAGAACGGCTTCTAAGTATCATCAGAGCAATTGAATAAATTAAACCATTTCTAGCTGATATAAATATGCCTAATGAAAATCGCGCCCATACTGACTATAATGAAGTTTTCGAATTGCAAGTGACTGTCTATGGACTGGTTTTATGGAATACTGAGAGCAAGAATCATTGGAAGATCCTGTCTTAAACTGAAAAAAATCTGCCACCTCCACTTTCTGAACATGGAAAAAAGTAAACGTATGAAATATTTCTAGAAGTGTTGCACCTAGAAAAAAAATCGCTTACCGAACGACTTACTAGTGTCAAAACTTGATCGGCTCTGGGGAAAACCAATCAGTCCCTCCATATCTATCGGATGAAAAATTAATAACGAGGGTTTGTGAGGAAACCACTGACTCGTTCGTTGGCTGACCCTCTCACATTACTACATAGGCCATATCACATTGAAACGCCACTACAAAGTTTAATAGAAGTGGTTGTATGCAATACCGCCCCTAATTTCTTGTCAGTTCGTCGCAAGTAGTCGCTTTGCCGTTGTCATAATTAATAGCAAATTAAACCAACCAACAATAGGTGATGCAATATTTCAGCCGATGTTTTCTGCAATATTTCGGCGTTTTTTTCAGTGATATCAAAGTTTAAGTACCTTCAAATTGTACGTAGGGTGATGCCTGCGGAAGTGAACGGTTCGTTAACCATTCAGTTAGACAGACAGTTTTATTTGGAGCGTTTTGAAGCTGCAGGTACAACCACATTTTACAAGAGCATGATTATACGCTCAATTTAACGGCTTTGACAAAGTTTTGTTGGAACTCGGCAGAAAAATAACGCTTTCCTGCTGCCATCGGCTAAGCGTGCATCTGCTGGCTGACTATACACTGCGAAGCATAATCAGTTTTACCCTGTGGTAATTACCAATGCCAATTCGCATGCCAGCACCAAACACTAACTTGAAAGAACAATTTTTTTCGTCAATTTTCTTGAAAAATGGTCTTTCTGACAACGCAGCGAAAATGATAGTCCACCGCACATTTTCCCGCTGCATCTCATTTTTGTTCGGTGAAACTTCTCATCATTATGACTTCTTGCCTTTTCTAGGCTATGGCAAGTGGAAGTTCATTAATGGACCTCGAAAAAGGACAGATTATCGCAAAGAAGACTCAAAACTGTCGAACCGTCGAATGGCGCGGGATTCGGCCGCACTCACCATGCTGTCAACAATTTTGTCAAGGAACCCGCAGGATATTGAGTTGAGAAGAGCTCTGGACATCCTCCTTTGCTGCCCGATCGGAATAAGCGCCGTATCCTTAGGAAAGCATCCAACTCTGCAGTGTCGTGTCGGGAAATTAAGTCATCTTCGCAGGTTAATGTCTCGGAAGGATACTGTTAGGCGTGTCTTGAAAAACTCCTGAGTTCACATGAGTTAGGAACTGTCTCTAGGAAAAAACCATCGCGAAAGCCTGAATGGCTTTGCTCGATGATGTTGCTGAACCGTTGGAGTGAGGTTAGCTTGTTGGCTGCGGTGCCCTACTGCTTGTCTGTCTTGTTCTTTTCAGTTTTTTTTCTCGCGGTCGTGTTTTCTGATGAGAAAAATTCAACTTTCATCTTTCCGGGCAGAAATTCAAAGGATGGTCTGGGCTGCCATCGCATCAAGGGAACGTCTGAAACTGCGCTCCGTATGACAAATGATTTCTTCCGTCATCTAAAAGTCACGCGACAACGTCTCCTTGCTTTCTGGCGTAGAAATCAGCAAGAAAGTCCTGTTTTCATGCAAGATAATGCACCAATTCATGACAGTCGAGCGTGGTTCAGTCGTCACCAAACCGCTCTTTTGCCCTGGCCAGCGAGTAGCCCCGACTAAAACCCAATCGAGGATGTGAGGGGCTTCATGGTGCGTATGATCCATGAGAGTAATGCACAATTCCACAATGTCCGTGAGCTTAGGGAGTTAATGCAGTCGGCCGAAAGCCTATTAAAATCTCTAATCGAACATGGGCAACCGTATTTTCCAACTTAATTGGAGAAATAGAGTTCCAATAGATTACTGGATCAAAATTTATTCATTTTATTGTACATTTGTTGTTGGAATATTCGATTTGTTCGGTGGAACTATCATTTTGCTGCGTTGTCAGAACGACCATTTTTGAAAAAATTGACGAAAAAAATTGTTTTTCCAAGCTAGAGTTTGGTGTTGGCATGCGAATTGGTATTGGTAATTACCACATTTTTTGTATGGGGGCATTTTTGAAAACGTCGTGTAAGACGGGATTTTGTGAGATTCATGGGTGGAACTATGATTATGTTTCGCAGTGTACGTGGCTGATATAACAGGTGCTTTCAGTCATTTCACCGTATGGGGTCAAAGCCCAATCGTACGTAAATTATGAATGGAGAACTAGCTTACCATATCATATCACTTCATTTCTTCATCAATTCCTGAAACGCTGAGGGGATGAACCACTTTTGCATAGTCTCTTCCATGACAGGTTGGTTTTGTTTTCTCACTCTCACGACTGTTTTGTAACTTATCAAGCCTATTACCACATAGCTAAGCGAGGTTAGGACGATTTTCGTAGTAGTGTCTGAAGAAGAGATATTGTGCGCATGGAAATGTCACCCTAAGTGGCGTTGTTATGTATACGTCAGAGAAGCTATGACCCTCGGGAGAAACCGTACCCCAGCGGGGTGAGACATGTGGTCGTTGCTGTCTAGGAGAGTGGGTAAGAAGTCTCGACTTCGAGTAAGCCAATCTGTTGTTGGAACATGTCAAGTTTCGCGGAGAAGGTACAGATATC